AGTTTTATTATGCTAATAATTTCTTTATATTACGATTAATAGGATTTTTTCTATTAATTGTAATATAAAGAGATTTTTTGACACTACATCTAAATATATTTTTTTTAAATAATAAAAATACTTTACTTGTATTGCATTCCTCCTTACAATTTTGAAAAAGGCCAATCTGTAGAGATCAATATAACAATGTTTACAGTTTTGAAAAATAATGAATATTTCAAAATTTAAGTGCACGTTAAAATCATTTGTTGTAGTTTAGGAAAGATTTCAGGTAATTAAGGACATTGCAAGTAATGTAAATAAAATTTGAGTGATTCATTTTTTTACACCTCACTTAATAAAAATTAAATTGATTTAATTAGATCAAATGAGATTGTAACAAGCTATAAATAATAACCAGCAATCCTTAATTTACTCTAAGAAACTATGCGCTTAACTGGGATTTATTTAATTGAAGTGTTAATAACAAAGTTCTAGTTAAGCTCTAACACTTACCCAAAGTTCCTCTTTCACTTTATTTAGGGTTTCTGACTTTACTTGCTGGGAAGTAAAATTAAAACTGACCTCATACTTTAGATAGAAACAATCATATATGTACATACATACATTTAAGTTCGTGCAGTTTTAGGGATGCTGGACATCTTTATTTCTAAGAAATAAAAGAGTCGGCCAGGAATAATAAGAAAAGCTATAATATTCTTCAAAACAATTCTTACTTCTATTTTAAGCTCAGTTAACAAGTCATCAAGTCTGTTACACTTTTCTCGTTCTTGAGGCCACTGGTTTTGTGAGGAATGAAGCAAGATTTCAAAGGATTAAAAGAAAGAAAATGTATTAGAATTTTAAAATTTTTTGAAAAAAAAATTAACATCAAGAAATACTCTTGTAAAAAGTTTTCTGTATTCATCACAGTATTAGTTATTAATCATAATTAATGTAGCTATTTATTTTTTAAAAATAAATGTTCCCGTCTCAATAGAAAGTTGAAACTGATCATAAAAAGTATCAATATATTTTTAGCTTACAGCAATATCAAATGAAAGGCTTGTGTTGAAGGAGTCAGCCCTGAAAAAATACAAAGCAATAAGATGTGATGAGCTAAATTCAAAGATTAATTTTCTAATAATGATACGGCAAAGGGGCTAGATTAACTCACAATATTTTCAACTCCCAAAAATGTGATTTAAAAGATATAAAAACAAATCAAATTATAACCTTTGAGACGAGGATAGTCAACATTCTTTTTAATGAGTCAGAGATTTTAAAAATCCGAAAATTTCTAAACGTCTAAAATTTCTACTCTTGAATTTCAACTGCATTTTATCCATCAATCTGACACTACATGTAGGGTTTTGGCCTGCCTCACTAATTCCTTCACTCAGATCTTACTAATGCTTTTCTTTTCCATGCTTGGATTCCCAGCTGCTGTATATCTTTTTCCCACATCATCCAACCATGTAAGCCTAGGTCTGCAATTGAGCTGTTTTCCTCCAGGGTTTTGGTGGTGTACCTTCTTCACTCCTCTGTCATTTGACATTCTTTCGAAGTGTCCTGCCCAGCATAGCCTGAACTTTTATATTTCTGCTAATATAGTGGGATCCTAATGTAAACTATACAATTCCTGGTTGGTTCATGTTCTCCATCCATATAATTATTCTTTGTTGGTCCATATATTTTCTAGAGAAATTTTTTCCTAATATAGACTATACAATTCCTGGTTGGTACATGGTCTCCATCCAATTCATCCTTTGCTGGTCCATATATTTTCCAAAGAAATTTTTTCTGATAATCTTTTCATGGCATTTTTTTATCCTATCCCACTGGTTTTTTTTTCCTGTGATGCTTAAAGTTGTGCTTCTACTTCATTTTGGTAAGCTCTTGCGGTTAATGGGTCTTTGGTAAGTTTTTTGGCAATAAAATTGTTTTTCTCCATGATTTCATCCCTTGTGCTTAATGCTTATTATCTGCTTATAGTGAACCCTTACAAGTAGATGGTCAGAGTCTGCATCTGTTCCTTGATAGCTTCTACTTCTATAATGTCTGATCCATGCCTCTGTCTGGTGAGTTCCAAGTAACTTTATGCACATTTTGGTATGTAAACTTGAAGCTGCTAACTGTCATCACTTTTCCTGAAGCAAAGTCTATGCGCCATTAGTTGGCATAAACACTTTTACTTTCCCTATTCTGGCATTAAAGAAACTAATCACTTTCTTAATATCATGTTGTGGTGCCTCATCATAGATCTTTTCAAGTGTCTTATAAAAGGATTCTTTTATCTGACCTTTTGTATGTTTTTGTATCTTTGGCGAGAGCATGAACATTTATAAATGTTAAATTAATCATTTTCCCTCGCACACGCAAAGAGCACAATCTCTGGTTTAAAATCTATGACTGCACCAGAGGCATCTTACTTTATAGCAAATCCTGTTCCAATAGTGTTAGTGTTGTTGCCCCCATACAATATGGTGTTGTCTTTTCTGCATTTTCCCAATGAATTCCTTGCAATGCAGAAATAGAGATTTTATTTTCATTATTTGATTTACTATGTTGGCTAAGGCTCCTGCTCTATACAGGCTTAGTACATTCCAGGTCACAATCCAAAAAATCATGGTCATATCCAGGCACGGGTCAATTTCCATTACAATCAGTCCAAGTTTTATTTCGCCGTTTTGCTTTTGTAACGTTAATTTTTTTTTTACATGGCCAGGTTGTTAGCCTTGAGCACAACCGTGGAGAGGGCTGCCCCTTACACCTCTCTAGGGAGCTGCCTTAATTTTCCCTAACCTTTGTGGATTGCTCCACTTCCTACAAGGCAGTAGCTTTATATTTTAGTCCATCATGGGTATTTATTTCCCCAGTACCCACCACATCTGGTGGGACTTCATCTATCTGCCACCAGGCGAGGTGTTTGATGCAAGATCAGTATCTATGCACGAGTTGGTGTGCATTTGCCAACAAAAAAGTTATAATTCTTTTTAACAATATTTTCTGAAGAAATAAACATTAACAAAATAATGCTTAAACTAAAACAAGACAGGCAACAAACCCATCATAAGCTTTCTTGATGACATCAGGGATGTCTTCTAAATTATCATCAGATTCATATGTTTCTGAAAAAGTTGCAAGATATGTGATTTAAAGATTTTATTTTAACTAAATGGTTTCTAAGTTTGTTAAAGGTGTTTTCTATTTTATTTTCTTCACTAAATTATATATATGATGAAAAAAATATTTTTCTGATAATAAATTTAGGATTTTTTCCGCTTATGGTTTGTACAAAATGTATTAAATTTGCGAATATTTAATTATTATTTAACAATTAAGAAAACTACAATTAAATTCTATGAAAATGAAAAACTTAGTCTAGTTGTTTTTGTAATTTTTATCAACTATTCCAACTGTAATTGTTTTTTTTAAATGGTGAATTTTTTAAAATTTCAAACCTTATATGCTAAGTTATATTCCACCAAAAACTAATGCAGAACAGTAAAAGGGTGGTGGGGGGTGGTGGTGTTATCTCTTGCCCTGGACAACACCAAAATTGTCAATACATGTGATGAAGAAAACAATGTCTTTGTATTGTGTGTGTTTTGTTTATATATCATCATTCATTGATGAAAATAAAAAGGGGTGGGGGTAGTTTTTCCCCCTCGTAAAAATTTACCTTTACAGGGTTCAGACCTTTCCAATTTCAAGTTAAAATATTTACCCATTTCCTCATTTTCAGAATCAATGTCCATTTCTGTATGATTAGTGTTTGCGCTTCTTGCAATATCATGGAAAATGACTAAAGAAATATTAAAATATGCTTGATTACATATAAATATCAAATATTCAAAAAGTAATTATAGCTTTTATAGGCTATAGAATCTGATGAAAACATAAGCCATAACACTGTGTGTGATACATAAAATATAATATAAAATATAGGAATATATTAATATAATATAAGCCTATAGTATATTGGTATTATAGTGCCTTTACAAAGAAATAAAAATAAGTGTATTATTATTATTTTTATTAGGCAGTGTCTACGCGTCCGGCGCGCCGGATGTATATCTCCCGCACTATTTGTCCGGCAACCACGTCACATGACCGCCGGAAGAATACTTTATCGAGATATTCGTCTGGCGACCAAGTCACATGACTGCCGTAACAAAGTGGCGAGAGATATTTGTCTGTCAGCCTTGTCACGTGACTGCGAATGCTTCAAAACTATTGTTGATCTTAAAATCTATTTCTTTACCAAGTAATGTAATGAGTATTTTGAAAAAAAATAACAAAAAAAAACTTGGGTATATTACCAAAATAGAGTGGGAGTTAAACAATAATGCATTCTGGAAGGAAGCAATGCTGAGAGGGAGAGAATTACTGCAATAAAAAATACGAAAATAATTAAATTAAATTGATAAATAATTAAGTTTGATGGCGGGGAGGCCGATAGTTTACAAAGAAATAGACCCTACATCTTAATATAATATAGGGCCGATATAGTGGCCTACTTCTCATGCAATACTAAATACTACTCCTGAAATACAACTTTATTGAAATAGCTCCATAGTAGTTATTCTACTCAGTACTCTAACTCAGTCTCAGTCTACCTACTGACTACTGGTCTTATTTTATTTGGTTCATATTTTAAATTTAGGCTTCAAGGTAGAGCTTTACGAGATGTATTAACCAAGATTAGGGACTTTTTCTTTGACTTTGAAGAGTCGGAATGAAATAGACTAGTAATAGTAGTAGTAATGACTACCAATAACAAATGTAGTAATTGGACCAGTACTGAACTGTTAACAATGTAACCACAAAATATCCTTTTAATCAACCGGATGTTTATTTTTGAGCTCCTTTTCTGTTCACCAAATGCAGGAAACGGACTTTAAAAAGTTTAAAATCTGCGTAAATTTTATATTAGGCAACATTTTAAGGGTGACTTTATAATCTTCTCTCCACTATATCAATTGTAAAAATTATAATTTCATATATTGGAATTTACTAGTAAATTAAAAAAAGACAAATGCATCTATGTTATACAATACAAATGTTTAAATTCTTATACTGAAGTCAATTATATTTTTAGTTTTATCACCAATTAATAAGGAATTGTGGGTAGGTCGTTTCGACGACAACTATGTAAACTTCCTTTTTCACTCAAACGAAAAAAGAAATAACCATTTACTATTTGCGGTGCAAAAAAATATCATGCAAAAATGGCATTAGTTGTTAAAAACACCGATGACTTAGAAGATTTAGATGAGGCAGAACTAGAAGAATTATATTCATGGGTAGATAAAATTCCACTTTCCCGTCCAAAAAGGAATATAGCCCGAGATTTCTCTGATGGAGGCAAGTAATTTAATAAATAATTGTAATCAAATTGTTAAGTCAATAAAAATATATAATAAAGTAAGTTTAAAATGATAAAATTCTCACTTTTTTAACTGACTTGCTCAAAGTCTCTCTCACAATATTCATAGTATATTCATGGTCATATTCATAATTAAAATAATTATACAATTTATTCATTTTATTGTCATAAAATTAAAAAAAAATGTGGAATCAAAATCAAACTCATTCAATTATAATTATTTATAAAAAACAACTCAGTCTCAATATAAAAATCCAAAGCAGTTGTTAAATTATGTTAAAATAAATTGTTCTTTGCAGGCTTAGACTTATTTTATACTTAAACTATAGGGATTAGTAACCTAATATAATATATAAATATAAGGCCATTAGTATTAGGCTTTACCAACTTGGTGTTGTTTGATTTTCTAAACCAAGGACTTTTATTTTTAACATAAATTAACACAATTATTTACATATGACATATGAGCTACACCTTGTTTTTTGTAATATTATTTTTATAATATAGTATATAGTCTGAGCCTTGTCCTACTTAATTGTGTTGTGGCACTCCTTCCTTGTCTGCCCCTTTCTTGGATGAGAAAAGGTTGTTTACATTTGAATGTGTTCTATTGATTATAAAAAATGCAATTAGGTTACACAATTTCTAGAATTTTTGTACTAGAAGGCTCAGAGGCTAAATATAGGCTGCATGCTTTTATAGCAGCAATACTTAGATACATAGAGCGAGACAGATAGAGGAAGGAGAAATTTTTTCTAAATGAGATATTGCATTGTTGTGCATATAAAATTAATATTTGTATTTTGAGCCTGGTACCTTTTTCACTTGCTGTAAGTTGATACAGATTTTTGCTTCTACACTCAAATTTGTAAGTGTAAGTGTATAGACATATATTTGTATAATTAAATTAAATATTGTTAGTATCACTAACTTTAGTATCATATTCTTTGCATACCATTTTTCACGGTCCTTTGCTATGTATTCTTTATTATACAAGCCAAAATTTTAAAACAGATTAAATCTTCAAAAGCATAATAGTACGTAACAATTATTATTATATTTATTACTAACACAGTCTGATACTTAACTGTTAACAACCACCCAGTGTTTCAAGTGATACTGATTGATAGTGAAATCCTTTTTCCCTTTGGTTCTCTTTATATTTATCCAAACATTTGATCTTGGGTTGATGGTGTATATGGAAAAAAGGGAAGTGAGACCATTGATTTAGTAACTTGGTAAGAAGGAAGCTGCTAGGACTCATCAGGAGATAGAGGTGCGATGAGGGATGAGGGATGGGGTAGGGGCAAGAGTATGGATGTTTTCATGGAATGGTGGGGCTTGAGAAGATGGAAGGAGGGTTAGGTATGTGCAGAAGAGATGGTTGGGACAGGGATTATTATAATGGATAGTGCTGTGGACAATATTTATTAGTTAATAATAATTATTGGTAAAGACTGTTAGTGTTGACCCTATTCAAAATAAAGCAAAATAAAGCTATTGCTTCCCACGAAGTGTGGACAACTTTGGTATGTGCACCACACTGTATTTGTATACAGTCATAGAAATATTTAGATACTCTGTTTGAATGCAATCCAATTATTTCTGAATTATATATATTGTGTGCTTTGTACTTTGTATGTTAACCCTCTTAGGATGGAGCCTTTTCGGGGTGTATGTGCCAAAAAGACGGAGCATTTTTTACGAGCTCGGCACTCGCATTGCAAAAATTTATAAAAAATAAACTGTTTCCTTAATATATGTAAAACTATATATATTCTTGTAGGAAATTGAATGAACTAATACAATCCTTATGAATCAAACTGAAATATCAACATTTATGCAAATGAGCTACCCTGATTTGCATAATTTTTTAGTGTAATTTTTGGTTAATCCTAGAATAAACATGACTTACTTGAATCAATGGTGTGAATTTTTTGATGGATTAAGCCTAAATGAGTCCTAAAACTTATATTTTTGGGAAACAAGGTCCATGGGGGCCCTTCAGATACATCTGGCACATAATTATACTCCTTTTCCATCCCCCACCCTATTTTTCAGTTGTTACAGGCACACTGTAACAGGCCCCCTTTTATGAGCTAGGGACCTTCTCTTAAGCTGGATGTTATTGAGAAAGTTGTCTGCATATCTATTGGTCTCTCTCATAAACATTTGAATGAAATTTGTTGGAAAAAAGAGCATAAATACTCAAATGGTGTGCTTATACCTTATTAATAGGACCTATGTTGTCTAAAAATACAGAGGGTTCATCCCTGTCCAGTTGAGGACCCCTAATACTAGTAATACTAAACCAAAATTTCACAACATTAGCATTGCCCTCAATTTGAAAGTCTTCATTAATTTCCTGGTTGTTTTCATCAGTTTCAGTGTCAAATTCACTACTATAACATCAAAATTTCTAAGCACAGTTTGATCAGAGTCACTTTCAGGCATGTTCAAATTTCACGATTTAACTACACACACACACACAAATTCCTGCACACAAATAAGTTGAATTCACCATCAACCAACGCCGCCATTACAATGCCGGGATGTGCAGGAATACGTAAGAATAATTCGTACAACGCCAAGCCAGCCAATAGTGAGGCTTGATTTATCGGGCCGACGGCTCAGACTTACGTCTTTCTCGCTAGTCAACCTTGGGCCGATAGATCGGCCCTTACGTCCCAAGAGGGTTAAGTAGCATATATTATATTAAATATGAATTCAATTTATCATGTCTCCATAAGCAGTCAAAAATTTTACAATTATTGTTTACTGTATATGGGAACAAAAATATATTGAGGATAAATTATTTGATTTGTGATTTTTTTCTAGAAGTTATGAATAAATAAGTATGCTTTACCAAGAATAATTAATTCAAAGTTTTATTTAGCAATACAGTCACTCAGTCTTTAGGTGCCTACTGGTTCTTGAGGTGATGGAAAGAAACCAATACTGTCCATTTTAAGCTGCTTCCATATGAACTGTCTTCAGGGTCAAGTTTCTACTCCCTAGATTATTTACTATGATTTGCACCAAATTTCTAGGTGCCTTATGTGTTTCTATTTTCCCTGGGCTGTCCATTTACTGCAGTCTTGAGAAGTCAGCTTGATGTTATTCTATAAACATTACCAAACCACCCCTAGCATTTGGTACATAAAAACTTTAAAATATTACCTGTGATAATTTAATTGATATGATTTTAATTTTAATCAGTTATTTTTTTTTTAAATTTTTAACTAATTGTTTGATCAAATCATTTAATTTTAAAATAATTTTTAAAAAAAGCAAATTTTGAAGGGTCAAATATTTCTGAAAGTTAAATTCAAAAACTTTTGAGTAGTTCACTTTTTAAAGAAAAATTATAATTCTTTTAATTTTAATATTAATGACATAATGAATAATGGGTAAAATAAATAAAAGGTGTCATATTTAAAGAGTCCGGTCATAACTGCTAATAGTTAAATACCCCACCATATATATGAATTTTAATTCAATTATATTACAAGCATAGACCATCTTTTGAAATTTCCACTTACGGTTTACCAATCTATGGTGATGCTATCATAACTTCTGTTTTCATTAGAACAATAAAACCCTAAAATGTTGTACACCTAGCCTCAGAATGTTATATAGTATAGATTAACTTTTGCTTTCATGTAATAGAATGTTACTCTTAATATTTTCCATATGTCAAATTATATGAATAAACCATTTTTGATATTATCCTTTTTATAATTGTTACATGAACCAAAGATCTATTTATCATAAAAGTCAGTTGTCAACTGCATTTTTTAAATAAGTCTTCAAATTATCTTTGTTTTTCACTTGACTTGATAGTTCAGATCATTTTATTGATATTATATCCAATTATATATTTGTTGTATTGCCAAAATAATGAAGTTTTGTGATTACTAGGGCTTATTGTTTAAAACATAACATTATTAAAACTCACAGCATTAAAAATATAATAATTAATGTAAGCCTCTTTAAAAGCTGGTTGAAATTATGGACATTGTTTGTCAATTTTCCAGTGTTGATTGCTGAGTTGATTAAACATTTTCTACCACACATTGTTTCATTACATAACTTCATCCCTGCCAATGCAATGAAAATGAAAATAATAAATTGGAGTCAGCTTAACAGGTACCAGTACATAAGACAGCTCTGTCATAAGCATTCAAAGCTTTCAATCACTATTCCTATCAATTTAACAGAATACAATCTTTTTATTATTTTAAAAAAAAATATTTCAATAACCTTGAAACTACATTTAAATGAAATAATTGTAGTGATGTGCTTGAAATTAAATTAGCAGTAGGCAACAAAATGCTCATCAATTCAAATTTTATTTCAATTATTTGAACTCGGGTAGTTCTTTACTATAAGTAGGCCTACTAGCACATATAAAACATTTTTATTAGCTTGAAATCCACTTATATTTTGTTTATACATTATTAAAAAATATTAATAGTCATATTTACAAAAAATAAAATTTCATTGCCCATGAAGCGTTATTTGGTGCACTTAAGGATTGGAAAACATTCATTCAGATCATCAACCAATTATTAAATATTTAAAGGTAACAATAAATATTTGATTTTATCTTAAAAATTTCTTTAAAAAAATAATTCATCACTTATGTTATAATTTATGAATCTAAACATTAAAATAAATATATTTAAACAGTATATTAAGAGAGCAAAACTAAACTTATAATTGATATTAACTTTACTACTGATTATATTTTACATACAGCTTAACTTTCATACACAATTTAAAATGCTATCTTAGAAACATTATTCTAGATCTTTCCATTTGTACCTATAGATTCTTAGTCTAAATGAAATGCATGTCAATATCAATCAAAATTTCTTTTTTTAGTTACTAGTTTTCTTGTAACTTCTTTCTAGTTCATTGAGGCAAATCATTTCAACTATACATTTAAAATTTCCTGCACCTAACTATCAGTGCATGAGTCAGAAAGATAAGATAAACTCCATTTAGCCTAACATCTACATATTCCTTCAAAAGCCTTCCATAAAAGCCCGAGCTACTGTTCTTATAGTCAATATACAAATATATTTAAAAAGTCACCAAAAATTTTTATCAGTGAAGATTTTTAACAACTGCATTGACACTATTTCAGTTCTTGTGGCGGAGGTTGTAAAACATTTTTTGCCCAAACTGGTTGAACTTCATAACTACACACCAGGCAACTCTACACCACAGAAAATGCAAAACTGGTTTTTAATGAACAGGTGATCAATGATTGTGATATACTGTGTTCTGACATCATTCTTAGATAGCTTTCAATTCAAAGTGGGAAGAAAAGTAAAGCGTTAAGCATTGCTTTTTAATAGAGAAAATAAATGCTCATGCATTTAAGAGATCAGTTAACTGTAACATTTTGCTTGGATCTTCTAACAAAACTCTTTAATTCATCTTTACATCAGGCTTTAAATTGATAGATGTAGGCCTAATCATTTTCAGAATGGTGTTATAGTTTTTATTCTTTTAAAAAATATATAAAAAAATAGCATTATATGACTTGCTTGACTGTTCTTTATTATATATATATATTTATATATATATACATACATAAAGGCTTATTCCTATGCTAAACTTGAATCATCTTAAACTATTGACAAGAATAGATTCCCAATGAGTTATATTTATGATAGCTTAAAATCATTTTCTTTTTTTTTTAATTTAAAAAATTATATATGTTGTTTTCTGCTTTCTTCCCTTACATATTATGAATCTCTAGAGCTTTATTTTTATCCCTTCTTTAAACTAACTCATGAGTGTTATACCAATTATATAGTAGTCTAATTTTGAAATAAGCAATACTTGCTTAAGAAGAGAAAATGAAAATATAGGCAAATGATTATCTGTTGTGATTTTAAGTTATAAATATAACAACATAAATCGCATGTAGCCTATTATAAAAGTAAAAATATAAGATTACTAAAAAGTTTGGATTCAACAATTAACCCGAAGGAGCTATTAACTTGACATGTTAAAAGTAAAAGTAAAAGACCATTATATAAAGCATTAAATTTGACTATCTATTGTAGGCTCTAAGTTGTAATTAATAAATTTAAAAAAGAACAGCTATTTTAAGTGATTTGGATTTTTTTTTAAAAGAGCTATTATGTGTAAAAGATTTCATAAAATTTATGTATAAATGTATAAGTTATAGACTTTTCTATGGATCAAATAAATATATTTAAAAAATTAATAAAATAAAATGTTTCTTTTGTAAGAAACACCATAAATGAAATAAAATTTAGTAATATTTATATTTGAGTTAGAATTAAATTTGTTTTCACAATTTCCTTACAGTTTTTATGTATATTTCACAACTTATTTTAACATATTTATTGATCTGCATTAAACAGAAAAGTCTTCAACAAGTTAAACTTTCAACTTACTGAGGATCTGATCAGAGAACTGTGTATAGGAAAGCAGGGACTTGTTGAAAGATTTCTAATGCACCTGCGAGCGAAGATAGAGAGGGCTAATTGGGATATGCACAAAGAAGCAGGAGACCGCATTGAAGTAGGCAACCATCAAACAAGAGCTACTCATCGTTTGACTAATCCCAAGGGTAGTAAATCAAAACACATCAGTGATAAGCCAGAAGCTGACCAAAATATAGGTAATTTTCTGGCTATATACTGTATCAAAGGATAATAATTGAATAATCTCTTTTTCATAATAAAAATCAAATAGAAAAATTTTAGGTTAACAAAATGTAAGTAAATAGTTGTTTTTTTCAGTTTTAATATGCTAAAAAAGAAATTGAAATGAATACTCTAATATAATAATTATTTAGTATCAGTAAACCCAATTAATTTTACCCCCAACAACTGAGATCTAATAGTATATAAATTAATATTTTCAAATTAGCATTAACTCGGTGTGAAGAAACATAGAAATTTTCTGCTGTTTAAGATGCCAATATGTAGGATGGATTTGTGTTACTCTATCCATCCTTTGATTCAGGTATGCCAATTATAGCCTCATACGCCAATGAAAGACATGACTATAGATCTGAAGGTATGCTGTATTAACAAGATTTGGCATCCGATGAGATAACAAGTTGTTGTGACTAATGATGAATAACAGTTAAACTAAAACATCCCCAGTATCTAAATTGTTTTGGAAGGTCTAATTTGTATAAAGGGCATGCACATTTATTCTCCTGTCATGCACATAGTATAACACAGTATAACAAAGAATATAAATTATTGGATAAATAATTTTAAAAACCCTCTCATCTATTGGATAACAAAATGGTATTGGCATTTATTGTATAGCTTATTTTAGTTTGACAACAATTGTGCCAATTTAACTATAATATATGATACCTTGAAAGTTTTTAAACATCCAGCTAAAAACTTTATATAGCAACAAAAAGAAAAAAAAAACATGACATGATCTGACTATAAATTAAATATAGTTAATATCAAGAATACAAAAAAAAGTATATTTTTTACCCATATTTGGAAATAATTTTGATAAAAATGACATTAACTTCCAGTACTTCATCAAATCATCTTAAATTTAAACAAAATTTTAGTCTCACCAGGTAGACAGAAACCAGGGGCAGCTCCTGTGCACAAAGGGTAAGCATTAAGCCTTATTAAACATACTAGATTAAAAGATATTGAAAAACAGTGTATTGTAAATCCCCTTAAGCCAATGTACTCTCATTATATTCCTTCCACATATATCTCTCAAGCTCAAACCAACCCCTGAATCCACACCTGGTAAAACCCTAGCATCTATCACTTCCCCTCAACTCTATGCTGTCCAAAACATCTCACCACCAACTTCACTTAGACACTATCCTCCTTCCACCTATCCCCAATTCTTTCCACTTTACCTACCTGCACTGGCCCTAAATAAAAAAAAATAATTTTAAAATGATATGTCCAAAATAAAATAAAAAAGATAGAAAAGGTAATGAAAACAGGCTAAAGGGTGTTTACAACTTAAAAAATAATGATGGTAACATATTCCTTTAGAAAATTATTCTTCTTACTACAAAGAATTAGAATATTGAAGAATACATTAAAGAAATAAGAATTAAAATGTTTGTCTTTAGTGATCATCTAAAAATTGAAATGTAATAGTGGTGACTTTAGGGAGATACTGAACAATTATTATAAAGATTATATAAATACAAGATTTATTATAGTTTTGAAATAATTTGCAGAGAATAAACAGTTTTAGTATTTAATCAATATCTTCACACCTGACTTTATATCAATGGAATTTTAAAATGAAAGCAAAATGAAAGTGTTTAAAAGATATGAAGAAAATGGCATGTTCCTAATTTTGACAATAAAAAATCACCCATTTAGAAATCACAAGTCTTTTAAAGTGTTAATTTAGAATTGAATTGGAAGATTAGTATTAATATTCAGAAATCCATCTTATATTTCTTGAGTACCATTAGCGTAACATATTTAAAGTTAATGGGAGGGAATCACCTATCTGGCAGCTATGTTCACCATTTTTTGTTGATTATCTCCCCACTAGATAATAATCATATCATCTACTAAATATTATTTATTTATTAAATAGAAATCCAAAATTAAAGTCCTCTGATGACATGGTCCCAAGAGCTGTCTATGAAGAGAAAGAACAAGAATGCTTAGCTAAAGAAGAAACGATCCAGGTAACATAATCTTAATCTTGTTCTGCAGTGTGCAAACTTTTTTTTTCTATTTCACTAAAATTTGATGATAAAATTCTCCAAAAATCATGTTGCCATTTTTATTTTTAAAACTAATAATAATAAGCAGCAAATAATAATTATAAGAAAGGAGATTAGATATATTATTTTATAGTTGCCTTCTTACCTCAAAACTCGCAAAGTTCGTGGGAAATATGTCTCATCATTTATTCTCATCATCAAAATCTTGCAGCACATCTGTGAACTTTTCAAAACACACTGATGCGTCACCAAACATGAGTGTGTCACCATTCAAAATCTCCTTATCTAATTTATTTAAGCATTCTTTATTTGTGATGTCAATCTTTTATAGTAAAAAAAATAAATCAAAGTGACATGATCAATGACTGGATGTTAAGGGCAACAGCAATACAAATTTATTTGTCTTCCAAGAAAAGCATAGTGTCTTTGAATACAAATAAATATATATACAAATGAAAATGACTAGTACCACAAACCTACTACTTTTTAAACTATTACCTCCACACAATGGCTGTAAAGAAAAGAAGAAAAAACCACAGAAAAAGAAACCCAATGACTTCAACCTCACAATGATTGTATTATTATTTGATAGATTCTTCAAGCAAAAGTTAGGAGACTTGAACACCTTCTTCACTTGAAAGATGTGCGTATAGAAGAACTTCAGAGCAGACTAGAGTCCACAAGACCCACAGGAAAAGTAAAGCGATAACAAAAGCAAGTGAGTTCAATGAATGAAACACTTTGTTTCAGGCCTACAAAATGGTGCCTAGGTTGAACACTGGACTTATTAAGGGCACACACTTTTAAAAATTATTTTACATTCTCATAGGCTCAGACGAATTTAGAAGGAAAAAAAAATTAAACAACCTTCTATGCAATGGTTTTGTTGCTGATTTCTATTGATAAAATCAATGATATTTTGAAATAATTATTGCCTTGAAAAAAAATCACAATTATCAACATGTTGTGCTACAATTTTCTTTGGCTAACATTATTATGTTAAGCTAATGATAAAACAACTAGGACTCACTGAGTTTTACCATGCAACTTAATTTTACAAATGTTATTGAAAGAAGAGAAAATATGCAAAGTGGAGAAATGTTGTTTTATGTTTTTCTTCAATGTGTTCCTCTCCTGATAACCACATCATACTGAATTACTGTACCTTTTTAACTTTATTTTACCGCAGTAAATTATTTCTGTTATAAAAAAAAAACTGTAATGAAATAAGTGTGCATGACATAATAATTATATTTGACTGTCTTCCAATGCTAACAAAAGTAGGCACTTCAAATTAAATTTTGGTGGGGCTAATAGATTAAAAAAAATAATACATCTAAAATTGTTAAATTTATTTACTTACAAGAAAATGGAAGACAGCAAACATGATCCATGGATGAAACATCAAAGATATTAGGAGATCAGCCCTGAAACTGAGTGTAGAAAAACACAGCAGATGTACTTCAAAATAAAGACCCGGTCATTAATCTCTACCCTCTGTAACCAATGACTGCTTTCAATGAACTAAGCATTGTAATCCATAGACAATAGGCATCATGAGAAGATAATAAAATTGTTTGTAGGAAAATCTCATTTTGCATAATGTTCCATTTGTTACAAATTCTATTAAATTTATGATGAACAAAATACAGTCTGTTACTTGTGTTGTAGGGATCAGGAATTTTAAAATGGTGCCTTAAGTTTTTTTTTCTTGGTAAAGATTATACTGTGGGGTTCATAATTTCATAGCTCAAACTATCTAATTTAATTTTGAAAACTTTATTGCCTACTGCATTTTAAACAAGTATAGTTTTGTATATTTTGTGTGGATATTTTCTCACCGGCTTTATTGCATTATTTAATAAAAATGATCCTTTTAAATTATAAGTAAAGAAATTAAGACTTTTTCTCTCAAAGAAGATGAATCTCTCATAGGTACTACATGTCCTTAACATTGCTTTTTTAGCCTTACACCGTATTTATTATCTAGTGCAGTCATATTACGCGTGACAGAATATTATTTCAAAAAGAAGTCCCGCTTAAAAACATTCTATTTGGAATTATAACCATGTTCTGGACATCAGGTCTGCAGTTAATTAAATTCAGTCTCAAAATACAAATGTATTACTTGAAATCATGCAGTAAATTGTTTATCAAACGGCTGAATTAACAGACTTAAACAGTTGAGGCTCAAAATTATAGGATAAAGTTAACAGTGAGTCAATAAATTGTAGAAACAAGTTAGTGAATAAATTGTAGGAAAATAATTTCAAAACACATTATTTTGAATATTATTTTACACCCTAAGACTTGACATTGAACACAAATTTTGTTTATATGATATATGGCGATAGTGCGAACTGTTTTAAGTCGTTATTTTTATGTCATTTATTACTTTTTTAATGAGTCACTTGATGTTGTAGTTGACAATAAATAAAAATAAAATTATTTTTTAAAAAACCAACGCTTTTATTCCCCTGCGAGTTATTGGCCTTGGATGGATGAGACTTGGAAACAAATATGTTTTAATTTAACTACTACTGCTCAGTAATGTCCTGAAATTAGGCTACATGGGTTTTATTATCATTTGAAAACCCTTTTGTACACAGACATTTTTACTAATTTCTGGCAGTTTGTTAGTCGTCTTAACAATCGGCAATGTGTAAGCAAAATTGACCAAAAAACGAAGGCCTGCAACAATAAATGAGAAACAGTTGCCAACACTCGTAAATTAAACTTAGAGTAAAAACGCCTGTCAAGCGATCTTCGCATTAATACCTAATGAATTTATTTAAATATCACGATTTTTTTAGGGGGGGGGGTGGGGGTGGTGGGGGAGAGAGAGCTTTCACGTTTTCAAAAAGAACAAGAGAAACACACACACACACAAATCATTTCTAATTAAAAGGAGTTAACAGGACTAAGGTCAAACATACATTTAACACCATGGTTGCACGCAGACAGCGCTAGATGTCGACATGACCATTGAGCAAATGTTCCACGCGGGTTTAAGTTCGGCCACATGATGTCATTTAGTGGACTAATCGAATCTGTGCTCGATCCGCAAGCAGCATTAAGCCAAGCCAGCTAGATCGATGCCCGCGTAAACTGTTTGTGTGTTTATTTGCTATTAAGAAGGCGGGGCCCATCGAGGGAGAAAGAGCTTGGTGGGGACCTGTACCCCTCCTCCTCCCCCCCCCCACCTTTTTTTTTTTACCCTGCAGATTTATTTATATTCCACCCGTATCTTCCATTCGGAAATAACACCAGAGTCTGGGGGGCCCAGATTTACTGGGTTATTTAAAAGGCGCGGGGCAGCTTGAAATCTCTGCTGATTAGACGCTTACATTCGCCTTTGATGTTGTACCGGTCGGTTTCGATGGGAGAACTTGTCAGGGAGCTGGCCAGGGTGAGCGCTTAGTCTGGAAGTTTTATTGAGATGTACAGTTGCTCTGCCTGATCATAGCATGCAGATTTCTTGTACTCCCCCACCCCCATCAAAAGAAAAAACGAACAACAAACAAACAAACAAGTTTTCCCACAAACTTATTAATACCGCTCTGTGTCCCGTCTCCGAACATTTCAATAGCACTAACCATGATGGAATTTTAGACATCGCAGTTACTGGTATACTCTATACTAATAACACACCGGAAAAAAGGATCTATGTGGAGAATAATTTAATAACACGATTTGGTTGTCTCCATACGGGATAAATCAAATTCCACAATTTTACGTAGCTGCCATGTCTTTTTTTTTTTCTGTTTGGTTTTTTACATTTTAATTCAAATCACTTCCTTTACATCTCTCTTGGTTTTTGGGTCCACTCTGATTCTGATAGACTACGTTTCTGCAATTAAGTACTGGCATATGTGCAACGGTTGGGGAAACGAATGCGGCTATCCTAACCGCTTATATTTTTTTCTCTTTATTAAGTAGGATATATGTATACACACACACACACACACACACACATATATATATATTATATATATATATATATATTATATATATATATATATATTATATAAATTTAGTTTACACTTATTTAAATGTTTTGTGATTCTACTGGTGAAGGCATGCGACGAAGCTTTTACTTGCGTATTAAGGAAATTTATTATTAAAACTTAATATATATTGTTAAATTGAAACAAATTGTTCGTGTCTAATTAATCTAATACAGCCGTGAATGAATTCTGACATAGCTTGTGAACACAAGAGAAAATAAATTTATTTTAAAAAAAATATATTTGTAATTTCACATAAATATGACGTATAGTATAATACACGCTTTCCAAGCGGTCACAAACCTACTTAAGTTAAGAGGCACGTTCTTCTTCCTTTTTTTTTTTTATTCCCTTTTAAATACATATTATTTCCTTGAGATAACATGCTTAGTATCTTTTTATGATTTGGCGCATTCAAAAATCTCATTTTTTTTCATATTCTTATCTTAAGCAGTCCTGCTGTATTATGTATGCGTTTATAAAATTGATTTCCTTTAGATGAGATGAAGAAAATCTTTTCGCCTCACCCTCCTGTGATTATATCTCTCACGTCAACATCTTGTCAGAGATGCAATAAGACACAGCAATAAAGGCAGTGAGACAGGTTCCGGGTGTCTACTCATGTGCGCAACTTAGAAGAATCGATGACAAGCGGAGATATTGGTAGTTATCTGCGTATGTGTTTGTGTATTTATTAAAAACTGAAGGCGCCAGTAGAACCAAAAAAAAATTGAGCCGTTTTTATTCATACACAAAGACATGTTTAAGTTTCAAGTCTGCATTTGCTGTGATATTGAACGGGTTGGAATAGCCTAGATTCTTTATGTTTCGTCCTTTCACGGACACTACTTCACTATAGTAGGAACATGTCCAGTATCAACAATTAAAAAAAGAAAAACATGTTGTGACAATACAAAAAATAAGACACAGGCTTGAATACAAAAAAGAAGAACACTACACAACTTATTGAAATGTTTTAAAGAACCGAAAAGAAAGTGTTAATCGTTTTTTCCCAATCTGATTACTTCATTACTTTCAGTCTCAACTAATTTATTGTGTGGTATACGAGGCTCAATGTTGAAGAACAGACTGCAATGGAAATTTTTTTTAAAAAAACTTTTACGGTGCTGATTGGTGAATGAATCGTAATGTATAGCATGTGAAGACGATGAACTTCTGACACAATTTCCTTGCTTCTGATCGGTGTTTAGGCAAGGGGAGGAGGAAGAGTAATTATTAATAGGATATCATACTCAATGCCACCATTCCTGCACTTGTCCTTTACAAAATGCCATGGCGCTTCTGTGTCCAATTTATGGATTTCCCTAAACGACGGAGTTGTCACTAGTTATGTTTTTTTTTCCTCCCAAGAATTTCCCCAAGAAATCGGCGCAAACAACATGCATGCCTATGTTGCAGTTGATGAAATGAATGGGTGCTTCATGTATGTGTTTGTTTGCCCTACCCAATGCTCTTAGTTCCAATGTTATAAACGTTTGAAAGTATTATTGTACAGAGCGCATAATTTCAACTTATGAACTAGTGTTTTTGTTCACAAATGAGGAACTTGATATTCAGTCACCCGAAAGAGACGTAGACCACACAAATACAACATTAAAATTATTTTATTCAAATAAAATTAGACTCTATTTCTAGTTTTGCAGAATCTGGAGATTGGTTTTTCTTATTTCGCGGAATAAATTTAAAAAAAGAAAAAAAAAACCTGTGACACAAAGGCAGAAAATCACGTATCCATTTAACAAGCGTTGGACAACCCAAATGGCCTCACGGGCGACTTTTATCAAGAGTTAACTCTTCGCGGGCCACATGTCATTTCAATTAATAAATAAAATACGATGCTAATAAAACGAATTACACATTTATTACCAAAAGCAATGATACAACACACAACATGATAACACAAAATTAAGCTTTGTTTATGTTTCAGTCACTTTACATTTAAAATCTATCTCTTTATTTTTTTTTTGTTGTGCATCTTCACTGATTTCGTAAATTTTCAAATCAATTATATAATAAAGATTAACTCTTTGTGAATTACATTTTCTAAAAGATTTTGGGAAATCAAGGCACTTATAATTCTTTGTTGTTGGTGTTTTAAATAAACTCTATTCTGAAGATGTTCCGAAAGTGTTATACATTTTATTATTTTTCAATCCTTCTACTACAGATTTTTTCCATAAATTTCCGCGTACATGCTGACTAAAGATTCTCTGATGATCCCGTTTATACATACCGTCCACAAATTGCTCGAGGCTACAGGCGCAGCACTGTTGGTGCGCAGGCATTTCATTCACCTAATCCATTTGAAAGTCTTTACAAAATATGAAAAGATAGCTTATTCCAAAATGTACCTTTAAATTAATATATTAATTGTACAGGTTCAATTGAGGGGAAAAAAAACTTTATTTTAAATATACAGGATAATAGTAATTAATAAATAACTTAATTTCTAATCATTTTTTACAAGAATAAAGAAAGTTCAATTTGAATGAAGGGGTAAGTTTATTGTGATACATCTAGCCCCAAGCATGCCGGAATATTCAACGCTCCGGACCACATGTGACCCGCGGGCCGCGGCCCGGCTCTAAACAAAATGAGTTTTTCCATTTAGCTTTTAACGAACCTATTTTTGAGTTCAGCGTTAAAAAAAGCACACACTAGAACAAAAAAATCTCAGTCAGACATCCTGTGTCATAAAAACTCGGGAAGACAGCCGATAGGCGTTCTTCCCCAAACAGTGCTTGGTCCCGGGACATCATCATAAGTCAGTGGAGCAAGAAGGATTCCTTCATGTTCTGTAATATAAAAAGAAAAAAAAAATACTACTGTTCAACGGTGCATTGTGTCACTCGTTGAGGTAAGAGAAATTTTAATATTCACGCTTGATTTTGTTGATGGTCATACTTCCTGGCAGTAATGACCAATGAAGCACGGACTTCCTGGCAATAATAACCAATGAAGCACGGTTCGGTAGAGGGGAAGCGTGGACATAATTACCATCCGTGATCTAGTCAGAGAGGAGAAATAATAATATTGGATTTATTTCTTACAGTAGTGTTCCAACGTTAGTGCAATTATTTACCACCCTGTTCACTGGGCCGCACGAATAGCATCACCAGATTAAGTAAACTCGCGTGATGGCTCGACTCTTGGGATTTATAGGTGTCGGTTGGTAGAGTTCATCGGCTCATTCTAGTCAGAAAACAAAACATAAGAACTTTTTTTTTTAAATTGAAATACACGAAATACATAACGAATTGATATGGAAATGTTGTACGAACTTTAATGAAAAGCCAAATTCTACAACCTCTTGAAACTTTGCACAGACTTTTGACAAGCCTAAATATACACTATACGATCATCAGACTTAGCTATAAAGGCTGTTTATCATCCTAAGGGTCATCCATTTGGTACATACGTAAAAAAAGTC